GCTAGTGTCCCTTACACCCCCACCCACAGCCCCCTGTACCCCCAGCCCTGCTGGAGGGGGCCCCCTCACTGCCAGGGCTATGGTGCCATCCATAAGTGGCATGGACAAGTTCTACATAACACCAAGAAATTTCAAAGTGGATCAACATGAGAAAATAAATTTGATCTGAGTTAAATTTAGGTAGGGATTAATACAAGACCTATGCAACACATAACTCCAGGAAGATGAGTCAAGAAATGTCTAATGTACTCCTGTAACTGGAAGAAAGGTAGTTGTAACATTGGATCTTAATGACGGGGAGATGTTAAAAAGATTAAGTTATTGTAAAGCATCTTACAGGAATGCAATGCACTGGGAGAAGAGAATGTCTTGATAAACAGACAATACTGGGACGGATATTATCAAAACAGAAATAATCAATTTTTAAGTGAGTACAGAGCTGCTTCTGTAGGTGTGCTGCATAATAAACAGTGCTAAAAGGGAGAAGATATGCAACATAAGGAAGCACTTTGCTTTTCAAGTCACCCAAAGATTAAAAAAAAGATATTTTTAAGTTAGACCTTTCCTTGCTAAAAGGTAATATAGCAGGGGTGGGCAAAATCCGGCCCGCAAGGCCATTCTATCCGGCCCACAGGGCCCCTAAAAAAATTTTGAAAATAAAAATGCATCTGTCCTTGGTTCCTGTCAAAAATGACAGGAGCCAGGGGCAGTAGGACCCTCAGTGGCAAGGTTCCCTCTAAGGTGTGCGCGTGCATGGCTGCGCACAACTAAAAATGTGGCCGCGCGCAGCCTTTTCAAGGCTGCACACTAGAAGAGGCTGGGACAGGAGCCTGGCGCGGGCTCCGCCGGCTCAGGGGAAGTGCTCTGCTCCCCAGCATGGCCTCAGGGGGTGTGTCCCACAGTGTCCCGGAGCTGGCGGAGCCTCACTTGGGGCAGGCAGCAGCTCCTCCCTGAGGTGAGGCAAGGCAGCGATGCAGGCTGGGGCAGGGGGCTGGGGCGGGCTCCGCTAGCTCCGGGGAAGTGTTCCACTCCCCGGCCCTGATGTAGGGGAGTGGAGCACTTCCCCAGAGCTGGGGAGCCAGAGCCAGGCTCTGGCTCCAGCCCCTGGCCCCTGCCTCTGGCCCCCAACTCCATCCCCTGTCACCTGGCTCCAGCCCCTGGACCCTGGCTCCCAGCTCCAGCTCCTGGCCTCTGGCCCCAGCCCCAGCCCCTGGCCCCAACCTCCAGGCCCAGCCTCCAGCCCCTGGCTCCAGCCTCTGGCCCCCAGCCCCCCAGCTCCAGCCCCCAGCCCCCGGCCCC